GCTTGGTTAATTATTATATAAATATATATATAATATAAAATAATATATAATTATATACATACTTATAAATATATAAATATAATGAAGTAATATAAATATAAATAAATAAATATATATATATTATATATATATTATATATACTTTCGATATGCGAACGAGAAAGCAATTCAAAGGCATGACGTGAGAAAATAAAAACACATTGCGACCATTATATTTTATAAATAAAAGAAAAATTGATATGTGATATAGATGGTAAGGCACGCGGACGATGCGTTGCGATGCATTACAAAAGCAAATGTATTCTGTATATCGTTTCATTAAATCTATTAAAATAACTGATGCTTCTTCTTTCGTTTCAGTGTCCCGACGTATTCATGGCAGCGTTGCAATCCTTTACTTTACTAGTTTTACATAGAACGAAAACAGGTATTTCAAAAATTGCCGAGGGTTGTCGACGGTCCTGTAACTTTGCATAAAGTACACCTGGCATTTAATACCAGCCTCGAAAAGTAAAGTTTTCAAAGATCTTCTTTGTTTTCGAATTTTATTTATATTATGATTGACTATTATGTTCTCTATTTTTCCCAGGGACAAAATAGAATAAAATAAAAAAATAAATGTTAATAAAAGAAGAGGTTGAGAGAAGACAGTTTCTTTATTATTTTTTCCAGATACTATGTGCAATATATTGCTTTTCCTTTCACTATTACATATATATTTTTTTACTTTCTATAGGAAAGCATATAGAGCGAAATTCATTTTCTTCTATGATTTTAATATTTCTTAGGATTATGAAACGCTGTGATACGGCCAGTCTTGGCAAACAAACGTGAGAAGCACGAATGCAATTTGCGTGATAGTTTGCAGCTGCAACGTGTACGATTTCAAAATTAACCGGCATAACGGCCACGTTGAACGCGCACGCGCGACAGCGCTAGCAGCGAACGTAGATGGCGCGCGCATTTCCTCGTGCGCATGCGCGAAACAAATTTTACAACGCAGAAAGAAAATAGTCCGTGCTTGAAGAGACACGACGATCACTTGGAGAAACGTGACACTCGTGACAGTAGTTTTGCAACGTTTGCGAGTTTACGAGGTGTACAGCGGAGATCCGAGTGAAGTGTGTGGCTGGCACAGGGCACAGATTGAGCACATTATAGCCTCGAATTAACGATCAAAAGGTTCGTCTGTACCTACTAGGCGCGAGAATATCAAAGGCTGCAGATATTACTACGCCGCACGTTGTGGAAGGAAGCAGAAATCGAGTACTGGCAGGAAGTGGGTAGAAGGGGGTACGTCGTTGAGCTAGTTGATTCGGTGGTGGCTACATGTGGCTGTCCGCCGGTCGCAACGAGACATTTTCTATCGGAGCATAAGAAATTACGTTTCTCCACGACAATCGACAGACGAAAGAAGCTAAAATCATGCAAATGGATCCGACGACAGTACACCTTATCCAGGTTCTAGAGAGAACTGTCTCCTCGAGTAAGTCCTTTTGATTAATCGGCCTTTCAGATTATTGGCGACATCATGGAATTCCGATTAGTTTTTCTTACATTATTCCCTTCCTTTTGACCTTGTTGTTCCTGTTACTTTATGAATCACATAGTAATTAGCTTTTATCGAATGCTTCTTATCGTTTTCGCGACCTTGCCTGAAAAAGTAAAGTCATACCGCGTGCGCGTCCTTTTTGTGCTTCTTCCGGTGTATCCATGGAGTATCTGGTATCGATGTTAATTGTGTGTTTCGTTGATCCGTTAAAAATCTTTCGGCATCGACGTGTTAACGTTCAATCGAGATCTGTAGTTTATATGAAAATACGTCGTATTGTGTTCCGCTTGGCTGTTGCTAGGGGCTTTTGTTCACGACCGGAAAAGTATTGTCCCATGTGACGGTTACTCGTATTGCACGTCCCCGTTGTCGGTTGGCACGGCGAATAACAGTGCATCTTGCTTTTCTAACCTCTATCGTTGCCACACATTTTTCGCCAGCTTGACATTAACGAAATAATACATCGAAAAATCGATTAATTATCTTTGTCTTCTTCATATGCTATTTCAGATAAAAATGAATTGGAAGCAGCTCAAAGTTTTCTGGAGCAGGCAGCAGCGACTAATCTGGTAAGTTGTGTTTCTCTGGAAACAAAATGTTTTTAATCGAAGAGCACGCAATTAGAGAGATTATAAGAAATTCATTGCTTCTATTTTTTTTTTAGCATGAATTTTTGCAAAGACTCAGCGGTGTGCTGGTTAATGCCACCGCAAGTCCAGTTGCTCGCATGGCAGCAGGTCTTCAACTTAAAAATCAACTTACATCCAAAGATCCAGATTTAAAATGTCAATATCAACAACGTTGGCTTGCCATTCCTGTAGAAACAAGGGAATATATTAAGAAGAATGTGAGGAATTCTTTTCTTTTTTGCAAATATTTGATAAAACGGTTATGTAGAGACACGTGATTCTATTGTATTTATTTATTAATAGATTTTTGGAGCACTTGGAACAGAGAACAACAGGCCAGGTTCTGCAGCGCAGTGTGTTGCATATGTAGCAGTTACTGAATTACCTGTCCGTGAATGGACCAATGTCATTCAACTATTAGTCAATAATGTTGTAAATCCAAACAGCACAGAGATATTAAAGGAAGCAACTTTAGAAGCTATTGGTTACATTTGTCAGGATATAGAAAGCGACGTTTTGGTATCTCAATCTAATGAAATCCTCACTGCTATTATTCATGGCATGAAAGGATCTAGTACTTCGCATTACGTGCGTCTTGCAGCTACAAGTGCACTCTATAATTCGTTAGAATTTACCAAAGGAAATTTCGAAATAGAGGTTTGTATAATTTCAGGAATGAGATATAATTTTTTTCTTTTAGTAAGAACATATGATCTAATTTCTTTGCTTATGTACACAGACAGAGAGAAACTTCATTATGGAGGTGGTATGCGAGGCAACGCAGTCCTTAAACACACAAGTTAAAGTAGCTGCTTTACAGTGTCTTGTGAAAATTATGTCATTGTATTATCAATATATGGAGCCGTACATGGCTCCAGCACTCTTTCCAATTACTCTAGAAGCTATGAAGTCAGATATTGATGAAGTAGCGCTGCAAGGAATTGAGTTTTGGTCGAATGTATCTGACGAAGAGGTAGATTTAGCCATGGAAGAGGGTGAAGCTACCGACGGTGGTCGACCGCCAGTCAAAGTATCGAGACATTATGCAAAAGGCGCTTTGCAATATCTGGTACCTGTTTTGATGAAAAAGCTTACTAAACAAGAGGAATTTGATGACGAAGACGATTGGAATCCTTCGAAAGCTGCTGGAGTGTGTTTAATGTTACTGTCCTCTTGTTGCGAGGATGCTATCGTTCCATTCGTTCTTCCTTTCGTTAAAGATAACATTAAAAGTCACGATTGGAGGTTTCGGGACGCAGCTTTAATGGCTTTCGGTTCTATTCTTGGTGGTGTTGATCACGCTACTTTAAAACCTTTGGTAGAACAGGCAATGCCAACGCTTATCGAACTAATGTACGATAGCAGTGTCGCGGTAAGGGACACAGCTGCGTGGACATTCGGTCGAATTTGTGAAATCATACCAGAAGCAGCGATTAGTGAGACGTACTTGAAGCCATTGTTAGAGGCTTTGATAAACGGTTTGAAGGCAGAACCTCGGGTCGCAGCGAATGTTTGTTGGGCATTCACAGGTCTTGCAGAAGCTAGCTACGAGGCTGCGGAAACTATCGAAGGACAAAATCCAGAGACGTATTGCATGTCTCAGTACTTTGATTTTATTATCCAGAGATTGTTGGAAACAACGGATCGTCCGGACGGAGCTCAAGCTAACTTGAGATCAGCTGCTTACGAGGCACTGATGGATATGGTGAAGAACTCTCCGCGCGATTGTTACCTAACCGTGCAGAAGACGACGATGGTGATTCTGGAGAGATTGCAGCAGGTACTGCAAATGGAGACACATATCCAGAGCCACTCTGATCGTGCTCAATATAACGATTTGCAATCGTTGTTATGCGCCACCTTGCAATCTGTGCTACGCAAAGTTACACCGGAGGATGCCCCGCACATTTCTGACGTAATAATGACAGCATTGTTGTCTATGTTCAATTCGAATTCTTGCAAAGCCGAGGGTGTGCAGGAAGATGCTCTCATGGCTGTTTCGACTCTAGTCGAAGTGCTTGGAGAAGGTTTCTTGAAGTACATGGATGCATTCAAACCGTATCTCTGCCTTGGCTTAAAGAATCACGCAGAGTATCAAGTTTGTTGCGCTGCTGTGGGTCTGACCGGTGACATTTGCCGCGCCTTGAAAAACAAGATGTTACCCTATTGCGACGAGATCATGACCCTTTTGCTGGAAAATCTTGGCAACAATTCGGTTAATCGTTCCGTGAAGCCTCAGATCTTCTCCGTATTCGGTGATGTTGCTCTCAGTATTGGTCCAGAATTCAAGAAATATTTGGACGTAGTACTTCAAACGTTGGCACAGGCTTCCCAGGCGAATGTCGACAGAAGCGATTATGATATGATTGATTATCTGAACGAATTACGAGAAGGTGTTCTCGAGGCTTACACTGGTATAGTACAAGGATTACGCGGTGACGGATCGAATCCTTGCCCAGATGCGGCAATTGCTCTGGTGGAGCCGCACGTGCCCTTCATCATCCAGTTTATCACGTCTATAGCCCAAGATCGTGAACATTCTGAAGGCAACATCTCAGCCTCGGTGGGCTTGCTCGGTGATCTCGTCACCGTGTTTGGAGTAAAACTCTTGCCAATGGTAGAAACAGAGCCGCTTACGGAACTCTTAACCAAGGCTAGACGATCACGCACTGACAAAACAAAGACCTTGGCCAACTGGGCATCTAAAGAGATCCGGAAGCTCAAGAATGTTGCTAACTCTACGTCCAGTTGGTGAGTAATTTTTCATTGCTTCATTAATCCTTTTCTTCTTATATTTTTTTATTTTTTCGATTTTTTAAATTAATTTTTTTTTTCTTTTTTTTATTATCGATCATTTTCGTGTGGATTATGTGTGGTGCGTGTACATTCAATCACCTCCTATTCGTATTAACGTTCCGTTTATTTATTGTTTCCCCCCATCTCATTCTTTACTGCATTTCTCTTCATTGTACGCTATTTTTCTGTGTAACTTTGTTACTAAAATCAATTTCTCGACGAACGATTTTTAATGTCGTGCAGCTAGGAAGTACGACACAAAAGAAACAAGAAACGCGAATGCATGGCAGTGTCGAAGAACCGAGGAATACAATAGAGGGGGGCGTTATGGTGACGAAGAATCAGGAACAGGCTGATTCTAGAAATTGGATCAAGTTATAGCTCTCTCTCTTCAAACGAACAAAACTGAAGATTAAAGATTAATCACGATTATCTTCATTTTATCTTCGTTTAAAGAGAAAAGAGTTATAATTTGTTCTCCGTCTCGGAATTATTCTGTATAATAATACAGAATTGTTCGTTTCCCTTTGTCTCGTAATCCCGTCCCGTGTGTAGACACGTGCATTCGGCACAGAGAGACAGAGAGAGAGAGAGAGAGAGAGAGAGAGAGA